GGKTWAAAAWWARRAAWWAAWGTTTTACTTCATCCTCGCTTTCGATTAMGGTAWATACACGACARTTTTGAGAACTCACTTGGAGGACCCCGATGATGATGGAGCTGACTTGTGGAGAAATGCTGCTGCTGCTGCTCTTGAATATGGACTCTGCGTAAAATATGAGCACGTTGATTCCCGAAAATGACAAGAAGCTAAGCAGCCCCATGACGGCGATTGAAGCGCGGACCGTGGCCCTGGACGATATTAGATCCTTGAACTTGCTGCTTCGCTTCTGCTCCTCCTCGAGCTGCTGTTGCAACTCCTCTAGCTCACCGGCGATGTCGTACTCATGTCCGCGYAACAGKACCAGCGAATGTTCTGCCTCCTTCCTCCTGCCGGATCGCAACAGGTACGTGGGCGTCTCTGGTGCCACCAATAGGACCAGGACGAACATGATCACCGGTATGATGCCGCACAAGACAGCCAACCCTTCGTAAGACACGAAAGGTCCGATGGCGTACACGTATAATATGCCTAACGTCACCTTCACCTGGATGTAAGAGCCGAGTTCACCTGMAAATAACATTTAGGTGCATAAGCAAGTTGCATCACAGTATAGGTACATCATAMAAAATAATCTAGCCCTTTAACAGAGCACCTATAGATTTACCATGGATTACGATAAGAATATCTTAAGTTTGAAATACATATTGTACAAAACTTTCTCAAAATATTTTGACAAAATGTAACCACGATAAGTTTTAGGTAACTCACAAGGAAGTTTAAAACTATAATACGACAGTTAACGATTGTATATATTATTAAATAATTATGGTAACTAAAAGATCTATAAAATAAATAAAAATTAGTGTATTAGTATAAAATCGACTTTTTAAAAAGAGCAATTGGCATGCGAATACACCGCAATCGACGCGATTATTATACAAGCGACACTATAATTTAACCTAAGTGGTAAACCTATTGAGCCATAGAGTGTATTAATAACTATAATACCTTAATAAAAATTATGGCAATTATTTTAAAGASCTTATTTAACTATTACTTGTAATTGTTATTAAACTAATAAGTTGTGAGAAATATGAACAGTTCTTATGTTCATACCTTTATTAAATACAAAATCAAATGATCAAAAAAACGTTACGCATGACATACAATTTAGCATGTTTGCGCTGCGTACAGAAGTTATAATAGGTGTTGTTACACTGAAAATAATTTACCTTCATGAACACATCACTACACACGGACTCATTTGTCGTCATATTAGTACCTACTGCACTGCTAATATATTTAACACATATTAAAGGGCTGTCGTTCGAGTGCGCCGTTTTACCTTTTTACATAGGTTGMGCTCCGTGACGTGGGATTTTTTAATAATCAAAATGAAAATTAGAATTAGCCAATGATATTAATAAATTTATGCCTGTGAACTTTAAACATAATTTTGTAATCTTGCGCCACATACATAAACTTCAGTTAATGTTGACGTCTAAAAGCAGTATATTAAAGAAATATTAATACTAATAATATTAGCATATTATATGTATGCCACTGAGACTCAAACGATCAATGGACCAGAATCACTATATCGACATTAAAACTCACAGTTTTGTACTTCACATCTTTCTATTCATTAAGTTAAATTGTTAGACATTTCGATTGAAACTTATTTAAAAATAAAAAGTATTAAAAAAATCTTTGAAAAGAACAAGAAAACAAGTTGAAATTTATAATGCAAACTTGGACGAAATTAGAACCAGGTATTAAAAATTGATAATCAAAACATTTTTCTAAGTTATAACAAAATTATCNGTTGAAATTTATAATGCAAACTTGGACGAAATTAGAACCAGGTATTAAAAATTGATAATCAAAACATTTTTCTAAGTTATAACAAAATTATCGTATATTTCGTTTAAAAAAACARTTTTAAAACTTTGAAAAAGTTTCGTACAAGAATTCCAAACTTGGGATGCTAGAGCTAACGTAGCTCTTATGTTTTTTTAATAAAAATAATTCGTATGCATATTTTCAAATTTTAACCCTCCCTATTTTGTTGTTAAGTAAGTAATGCATTAATTCAAATCCTGAGTTTTGGAATTTTTAAGTATACTTATAACGACCATATTTACAGATCCTTATGTTATATCCAACCGGTAAAAAAGTTGCGATGATTTAAAAAGTATATATAGTAATTAATTCAAATTTTATAAAAATTGTCGAGTAGAACAAGTACCATACTAATAATTAAATTAATTTCATAAAATATTTTAAGTAAAATAATTATAAAGGATTATTATCCTCAAAACGCTATAATTATAACTCAGAAACTATATAGGTATTTGTTCAGTCATTCAAATCGTTGTTTAGATGAGTCAAATTTTACCAAAAATTACTTACTTTATATTTTATAATTTACAGTAAAAATAAGGTTGGYACTCATTTGAAAAATAAAATAGTTTACATAGCCTTAGTACTCTCTTGTTTAGTGGTATAAAAGTCTAATCTGAAAACATGATTTTTAAGAAGTATACATTTAAAAAGTTTAAAAAGTCTGAATTTTAATGAATATTTTATTTAAAGATAGAAGAGGGCCGAGGGGTATGCATACTTGGTTAATTCACATGTGTATAAAGAATCACGTAAGTGCACGGCGACCTACAAGAAAATATCAATTACAAATAGTAAACAATTTTATATCACGTTTACAGAGAACACCACGATGTGTGCGGCATTATTATTCATAATAAACGTGWGACATTAATAAAATTCGTGGGAAAATCGCAAACCGTTGAAAAACAGTAGAGTTTCAATAATTTATTAACAAGGGGACAGATGACATTGAATAATTATTAATGACCGCGAGTGAGGTAAAACATAATATTTTAAGTATATATAATTTTATGCGCGGTATATATTTATCGAAAATAATGGCGCCAACGAATCCCTATAATAATTTGAAAAAATCTTGGAATTTGACTCTATATAGCAATTTGTCAGTGTCAAATTATCTAAGCAATGATAAAACGAAAGAGGTTTCGTCACGATTGAAGCTGCTATCAAGGGTTGTGATTAATCCTAGAAAAAAAATTTGAAGGGTTTTTTGTACAAGCTATCATCGTCTACTGTTTAACTCTATTTGTATATTTGAACGTCAATTATCGCAGAGAATATATATTTTATCATTCCATCCTGGATCGCATACATTAGACAGCATAATAMATAATAATATAAATTTGTGGTGTTAACACGACAGACGTCCAGAGCAGCGTATAATTTAAAGAGATGTTTAACGTTGATACGCATATTATACTCGAATCTACGATATCGGGTTAACGGGATACGTATAATATTAATTATATTAATTCTTTAAACAACAACACTGGATGGGGGAGGAGGTACGAGCATTATAAACGGCTCTGCGAAACGCCTGCCCAATCCAAAGTTGAAAAAAAACACTCACACACAATAATTATAATTATGAAAACCGTTACGATATATTATATGTAATCGGTCAACTGCCTATATACGTTGAGYGTTGTACTGAACGTATAAAGTGTTATTATAGGTGTAACAGTATAGAGTTGTTTGACACATAACAAACAACCTCGACGGCCATCGTAAAATCATTACAGTATACTGTTTGTATAGTAATAATAATAATAATAATAATTATTATTATTATTATTATTATTATATTACCTATATTATCATATAAATTGTGGGAGGTCAGGTCTAACCAGCTATCCGATATAACTAATATTAAACGCAGCACGTCACATCACTATTACCTCTGATAGAGCTTTCGGCTATCTCGCCGATGTACATTGGCACGGTGGCGGTGACTCCGCCGATGACGGCGCCGGCAATCAGACGGGCCACGTACAGCTCCCAGACGCTGGTCGCGAAGTATATCATTGCCCAGCTGATGATGAATGGCACCGCCAAGGCGGCGATGGTGGGCTTCCGGCCGAATATGTCCGCTCCCTTGCCGGCTGGTATGGACCCGATGATGGCGCCGATGGCGATCAGTGAACCCACCCACGACCCCTCGTCGGCCGTTATCGGAATCCTCGAGTTCTCTGACTGCAACATGGGCAGCACCGGTGACGTCCACGCCAACACCGTACCCACGGCGAACGGTCCGATTGTGGCTGTAACGAGAAGAAAAGAGAAGACGATGAATAATAAGTCTGATAATATTATATTATATATAATTGTACACATCCATATAGTTTTAGTTGCTTCTGCTGATCATGATTAGAGGGCTGCAATGTATAATAAATTATCATGGATATTTTAAACATTGAAAAAAGTCATGGGGAGCCAATTTCCCCTCAACCCCCCCCCCCATCTGTTTTACCTCCACTGTACAGGATAGTATATTATAACGATGGTAATTGTAGTATATTAGGAGGGTATTGGAGCCTGTAGGAGGATTGGCGATGAATCGTTTACGAATTTTATCTGCAAGTACAACGACCTGCGGATTGATGTATTCTGCAGACATGTCGGTAACATTGTCTCACCCGAGTTTAGGTATACCTAATGATTGTATCCTACTCAATACTTTATTTTATACGATCACGAGTAACGTGTTCGTTTGGAGCGAAAAAAATGAATCGTTTGCGTCAAGTCGTCTAGAGCAGACACACTAGACACCCAACAGGTGATATGTAATAATACTAATAATACAGGGCCCATCGTGTCGTCATCGCAGAAATATCGTAGCGGGTTCATTCGTCGAAAATGATATAGTATTATACCAAKGCGGTTTTTAATTTTCAAACCTTTTWTAACGGTGGATATATGGCAGATATTATATCGTCTCGGAACCTACGCCAAATAAGTTTTTATGTTTATTTTGCACGAAACGCRGTTTTCACGCTATTTTTATTTAAGTCGACATCACGGGCACCTAGCTCAGGTACCGAGGAGATCAGTGGTCGAGGTCTCTCGCCTCGGGGTTCCGGTGTGTGACGGGCGTTCGTAACAATATACGCTAGCTGATATACCTATAAGTACAAGTCGTCGACCGGGTATGGGGTGGAGGGTTTTGACGTCGGATTTTGATGGTCCCGCCCATCATATAACAAAAAGTACAAATATATATATATATATATATATAATAACAATGATAATGATATGATGCGGGTAACGTAATTATTATATACAGAGAGCAAAGTAGGTACCTATAGTACCGTACTATTAGATATATATATATAATACGTAGTGAGAATAAGTTATTGCATATCCTAACTTACAACACAAGAAGAGAAAAGAGGTGCCCTGGAGGAAATAAATTAATTCCAGCCCGGACCATAAAGTAAATTACTCTCGGCTGGCACTTGTACTGCAGCCATAGGCATGCTGGCCACGTACCTGTATTTAATGTGACATGGGCCTCGAGACAAACGGCGTGTGTGTGTGCTAATGCGCAGAATGATAATAAAAAATATGTACACATTGTACTGTAAAAAATATACAAGTACCTACACTGCAGGTTGAGAATCAATTCGACAGATAGATCACGTTTAAATTCCAAGTACCACGCAATTGAATAGCAGGGTTTTTTTTTTCTACATATCACACTTTTGAAATGTTTTAACTGAATTCGAGTCAACCACGTAATGTAAAAAAAAAAGAAATATAATATAATATTTGCGATCAAGAATAATAAGTGTATATCAATTTAATCAGTGCAGTAACTAGAAGTTGGTAACATGGGCGTTTGCCAAGGGCGCAGTAAAATAGGAGGTGCATTTTAGTTAAATTAAAATTGTTTTTTTAATATAACATTTTTTTCCTCAAATGTTATTTAAAGTTTTATGAAAATTAAGCGTAAATGTGTAATGCATAAACATTACATACTGGATTGCTTCTTAATGATGTTTATTAGTGTTTACTACATTAACATTTATATTATACACTGATATATAGCGTTATTTTAATTAACACGTAAGAATGTTATATTATTACATTTATGTATTATATAAAAATAAACCTATAAAATAAAACAAAAATAAGCGCCAAAATAAAATTTGCCAAGGAGCGTAGTTACGGCACTGCATTTAATTGATGAACTGCCTTCTTTTTTTTACTGCAGTCGTCGTTCTACAATGTCCATGATAGAAATAATAACGAGTACGGTCGGGTATTGTCGTATTGATATTATTTTAGTAGGTATTTGGTTTTACATGGGATTTTACATAAACGGATAAAACGGATTTTTTGACACAAAACAGCCGGATATCCGGACCAAACATGGAAAACTCTTTAACTTGTAGTGTAAACATAAAAATATATTTTATGCTTCACGATAGCAATAACGTCGTGTATTATAAATCATTTTTTACTGTAAACTTCTACAACATAAAATTTAATAATTTAATGATAATTTTCAGTTCGCGAAATAAATATTTTAAACTATCATCATAACCAGTACCGAAAGAGTGCCACAGCAAAATAAAGCACACGTATTGTGCATTCAAGTTATTTTAAAGACTATTCGATAACAAAAATAACTATTTAAATTGATAATGTATGTATGCCATTATTTTTTTTTTGTAGTTTCTTAAGTACGTCCTTGTGAAACTGTTCGATTATGAAATCCGTTATCTTCCTAAAACCAGGCGTGGTGGTACTATAATATTTATCTAGTGTTTAACTCAACTTTTATTATTTTATTGTCCATAGCAGAATATCGACTAAATTATATTTTCCTATGATCGCTTGTTGTACTGACGTGTTAAAAAAAACCACATTCAATAAACAAAAATCAGGCTAATATTTTCCAAAAAATATTAATGATCAATATAGGTACCTAAAATACATTAATTTTTTCTACTGTACAAGTTATTTCGCGACTCTATATCGAATAATATAATATTTGTCTCGAGATTAAAAGTGTATAATTGAGACTGTAGATAGGTACTTTGAATGTTTTTTTTACTCTGAAAAGATTGATTTCAAACTATTAGACGATTTGTTTATTTGACACCTTGTTTAAAGTAATACATTAATTGATTCATTACTTTGAAAAGTTCACAATAATAATGTATTAATGTGAGTGTGTGTGACTGACACAATAAATAATTTGACATGAAACCTGCACAACATGCGAAGTTGCGTGAATATGAATATAACCATCATGAAAAAAAAGGTTAGGTTAGGTTTAGCAGGTAACTTCTGGCGACTACTGCAACGGTCAACGTTACTTATATAATAAATTTATAGAATAAATAATGAAATATTGAATGTATAAATAAAATGAAACACATTTTTTGAACTTTTGATCCCAAAAMAACAGTATATAATATATATACAGTTGTCGAAATGATAATTTAATTTATTTGTTTAATTGTGTCTTGTACATATTCCTAAAGACAAAGATCACGAAAAATTGTAAAATGGTTCTTTACTATACGCGTGAAGAAAACCCCAAAGTCTTCAACTATATACATCGATCATCAGAGGAGAAAAATAAATATATCGTGCATCAATGCAATCACGAGTGAATTTTTGACCTAAAAATAAAAACACATTCTGAAACTATACACAACAATATGTGAGTACGAATATTTTTTTACGGACAGTAACGATGAAAAAAATCGTAAAATTCGGGGACGTGTCTACATAATATAGTAATAAACTTCAATTCTGAATAAAACGTATATAATAATGGTCTATAGTGAATAATACATTCGATATTGTCCATAAACCGAATTTAATGTTTTTCGATGATTAATTATCATCGTAAATGTCAAATAAGAATTGGGAAAAAAATATTATCGTTGTTCGTTTAGGTAACACGTCAATGGTAATGTTTGTCAAAATTAATCCATATGTATGGCCATAATAATAATATACATGCAGCGAAACGAGTTGAAAAAAAATTGGACAATATTAAATRTATTTTGTACACGGTCTAGTTTGCGTAAAAAGCGGACGTTTTATTTTCGCCTGTAGATGGACAAGCACGCAATAAAGTGATAATCAATTCGTCTGATGGTGTCGATCATTTTACTATAAAAAAATTTAAATAAAACCAGCGACTAATAAACAAAAACGGGATACAAAAGGTTTAGTATAATATATAATATGTCGTATATGTTTATATGTATTAAATATTTAAATTATCATAATACTATACATAACGCGTGACCGAGTAATTTCCGTCCATCGCCGCCGGGGAGTGAACAATTAGTATATCTAATAATATGTTGTTGTTTTTTTTTTTGTTTTACAATAAACATTTTCAATTCTGTTCATTACAAAAGTCGGGATAATGCGTTGCACCGTCACTTCTATCTGGACCACCGTCAAACTGTAGTACACTTTTACGCCAAAAAAAAAAAAAAAAAACAATTTTCGACCCACACACTATACACCTATCTACTCTACAACTGATACACGTCCGACAGTTTTAAGCGTATAATTGTTATATAGTGTACACAAGTGCAATAATTACAAATGTCACGTGCTATCTAATTAAGGGTTATGTGAGTGAGTCGTTGTTGCAAGACCTGCTCAGCAGTGTTATATATATATATATATATATAGCACTACAAGATAAATTATTATTTTACGGTACCTATATGGCTATATGTGTAACAAGCAACGTACCTACTACCTAAACTATTGTATTTTTTAGGTGGGTGGTTGGTRGCAAATAAGGTTAACGTTTMGGTCTTTTACAAATTAATTATAAATTCAATAATTTTCAACGGTTCCAGAAACGAATAATAATTACCAAGCTGGGCGACTAAAACGGAATAATATGGAATCACGCACGCACACACACACACACGGGAAACAGAACCTTGACCTCGGGACAACAAACCGAGGTAGTGCTCTTCGTCGAAGTATAATATATTATGTTATATTACGCACGTAGGTAAAATCATACTTCGTCATACCGCAAGATGTATAATATTATTATGTATAATGTCTAAATAAAAATCTAATATTATATTTCGAGTGTATCAAAACCATCGTCGGTAGACACTGTATACCCGGTCGCTATATATCGAACACTCACTGATGAGAAAAAKTATTTTTTAAGGACAAATTAAAACGATTTAATTTTCATTAATGCGGTAAACTCACTGCCCACTGGTGTATGTATTATGTGGTATTTAATTTTATAGGGATG